AGTTTCTCTGGTGCGGATTGTGATAATCAAACAGGTGTTTGTAAATCTGGTCCTCCCGTACTTGCCTAAAAAAAAAATTATAAATAGAAAGTGATTAATAATATAAATAAAAAATAGTGAAAGGTATTAATTTCAAATTTTAGTTTAATATTTAATATTTGTGTTATAAAATGCTTTTTTTTCAAATAAAGTGTAAACTGTTTTATATTAAATAATTTCGAAGATAAAAAATTTTAATTTGAATACTATTATTAATTATAACAATTTCATCAAATGGCAGTGGAGAAAATAAATCTTAAAATTGCAATATATTGTGATTAAGAAGGCTCAGCGTTACAAAACTTATTTCCTTGACTATACGAATCACATTTAGTGTAAAGTAAATTTAAAAAAAATTTATTTTTTTGCCATTGATGCGATGCTTTTCTCTTGACCGATGTAAATAAAAAATTTAAAAACAACTTAATTTGGAAAATTGTTTACCAATTTGTATAGCCGTTAATTACATCATTTATATGAGATGGCAACATATCAACCAACTTTTGCATATATGTACAGTACATCAGACCCCATTTCAACCCAAAACTTTTGAATTTCATCTCGATAACTGGTCTTATGTTCTAACAGGTTTTCAAGCCATCTAAGATACTAGTCCATTTCGTACTGTACAGGCAAATTGAGCAATGCGAGACGTGCAGTATATGATCCTTATTCATCCATTCGATGGTCAACCAGTACCACTATCAGTAATATCACCACAGAAATAGCAACATTCACATCAATAGCAATGGTATGCAATATCACCACTAGCAACAATAACATAACTATTTAGCATTTGGAATTAATGATTATATATGTAATAATATAAGAACAAGTTTGAAAAAAATTATCATGATATAAAATTAATTTTTATTATTAATTTATTATTAAATTTATTATTTGTTTTTTAATATTAATATACAGTATATTTTTTAAAAATTGATAATTGCATTAATTAAATGCTATAAAATATCAACGAATTAGCAGATTATATTTTATATATAATGATATTTTATTATCTTACAATACTTAATAATTTAATAATCTTTATTTTTCAGATTGTAAAATTCCAATGTTTGATATAATTAAATAATTATTAGGAAAAATATAATTTTTTTTATAATAATAAATTTAATTTTAATAAATTTTAATATATAGAAAGTAATCTATTAAAATCACGGTATAAATTATATGATTTACTATAATCGTAATTTTTTTAATAGTACACCTCCTAAATATTAAAATAAGTAAATTATATATATTAGTATAATTTATTATAAATAAAATTGATCCTTTATATAGTTATCTTTTATATAAGCACTAAAGATAATGCAATAACTAGTTATAACTATGATAAAAGAGCATTAAATAGTTATAACTAATTGCAATATTATTAAAAATTTAGTTGTAACTAGTTACAACTGATGATAAATAATATCATAGGATTGCAATTAATTGCTATGCTATCTTTAATAAGTATATCTTATTTTAATTATCCTTTTTTATAAATAGATTTAATAATATTAAATTATCTTTATATAATTAAAAATTTATTATAATTACTATTACCTACTAGGTAACAGAAACTATTGAAATGTCTAAAGTATAATTGATATTTGATTAACTGTAATATAATACTTATTTAGTAGATCAGATATAGAAACAGATATCATACGCATACTTTCAGATCCAACTATAATGTTTATACTTACACTTCAAATAATAATTCTTAATATACTTATTGCTTTATTAATAATCTAATCCTTTTTATCATCATTATTATTTTGGTTAACATATAATTTAATTAAAATTATAATTTATATAATCCATAATATTTAATTTTTGTAAAATGATTATTATTAAAAAAAGGATTTTAACATTATTTTTTAAATTATTTAACAAGTAAATTTGCTTATAAATTTAAAAAAAATGTATTAATTTTTAATAAAATATTAAAATTAATTATTAGTAATATAATAATTATATAAAAATATAATTTAATATATATTTTATCAATTTTATTAAAAGTAATTTTAAAGTTTATTAAAAGTTTTTTAAATAATTCAATTTTAAAATTATAGTTTTAAAAAATTTATTATAATAAATTTTTAAAAATTTATATATTTGTGAATTGATTGAATTATTTTATGATTAATAAAAATTATAAAATTTCTTAAAAATTATAATAAAATTATTTTTTATGATAAATTTTATAATATTTTATTATAATAATTTATTAAATTAAATTTTAATAAATTTATTGAAAGTTAATGATAAAATTTTTAATATATATTATATATAATAAAAAAATTTAATTTTTAATAAAAATAAATCATAAGAAAATTTATAATAAATAATTAAGCAAATTTACCTATAAATTCTAATAATCTAAGAAATATAAATTATAGTTATTGAATAAGAGAAATATTATATCACTAAGATGTGAAGCATTTCAGGTAATATAATATTTTTTCCTACTTAATAATTGTATAATAGTATAGACTTACATGATTATGCTATTATTTACTGTATATCTTATTTATAAATAGTTTAGATTATAATTATTTTATTATTGTAACTAGTAAAACTGATAAACCTGTCAAATATAATATATATACTAAATATGTCATATTTGTCAAATAAGACATATATATTATTTAT